GCATTTCAGGAAAAGCCAGTCCTCCTGCTTACGCGTACACATACACACACACACACACACACACACACACACACACACACGCACACACACACACACACACGCACGTACGCACACGCACACACACACGCACACACACGCACACACACACACATTCATACACACTCATACACCCCATCCCAGGCGCGTGCGCTGCTGTAACCACTACCATCTGTGCGGTGATGGAGTGGCTGCTGCGGGATGCGAGATCGCGTCGCATCCACCCGCTCGATGACGAAGACAGGATGTTCTACGAGTAAATACCCGCATACATGTACTGCGCGTCAAAGCCATGTGTAGCTTGTGAGCGCGTGCGAGGCCGGCTTCCGCTCCCTTCTTGTTGACTTGTTTCCTCTTGAACGATTCCTCTGGCTGATACCATAATTGAACCCATTGTGGATGCTTAACGATCCTTCCACTGCTTGTGCGGCACTGGTTACTGGCGCCTCCTTGTGTTCTCTCATTGTGGCTGCTGTTCGTGCAAAGCACTGTAACGAGAGCGCCTGCTTCTGCCCTGTGCGTTGATCGCACACCACCAAGATAAATAAACATCAATCCCTACCGTTGTGACGGCAAAGTTAACGCCAGCAAGCCAGTCAAGCAAGCGGCTTTTCCATTCACGATAGCAAGCCAGTCAACTGCAGCAAGCAGGCTGTCGCTGCAAGCAAGAGCAAGTCCTTCCAGCTTGCCTTGTCGACAAGTCATGGTAATTTTACATAACCATCGTCAGGCTTCGCACCACAAAACAAAGCCAACAAGAAGCCAAGCAAGAAGCAAGCAAGCAGCAAGCGGAGACCAGGAGCAAGACGAAAAGAAGCTCGAACCAGCCATCAAGTCATCATGGGTCGACGCGGCAAAGGGAACAAGGGCAGGAAAGGAGAGCACAAGAAGGGAGATGCGCACGGTAGCTCTGCTACAGTCGACGACGCTGCTATCCCCAATGTCAACGGCACTGCCAGCCAGGCTGGGCAGCAGTTTGTGAAGCAGCCCAAGAGCACCATGCGTGCAGGCAATGGCAAAGTGATGACACCACACATGGAATTCATCGATGGCCTTGATGGGCACCATCGCATCAACGCCATGGCACACAAGAAGGAAGGTGAGAGACAGGGAGACGTGGGGCATGAGGACGATGACGGGCTTGGGTCTTCTGCATCCACGCTGACAACGCCCGTGACAAAGGAACACAACAGCCAACAACAGCGGCAACAGCGGCCAGTGGGGCTTGATTTTGGGCGACGGGTCTCTGCTCCCGCGCTAACCATCTCCGAGCTGGAGGAAGAGTACACCGAGATGCACAATACGCACCACACGACGCGGACGACGCATGTCGTAAAGACGCCCTTGTCGCCCCAGAGCAGGGAGAAGCTGGTGAAGCTGCAGGAGATTGTGCGCAGCTTGAAGCTGGAGCTGGATCGTGTGAGGGACGAGAACCTGGAGCTGCGCGCCAGGAACCAGCAGCTACTCAGGCAACGACAGCAGGAACAGCAGCAACAGCAGCAGCAGCACCTTGTTGATCCTGTGCGCAACAGTAACGGCTGTTCCTGGACAAGGCTGGTGTGTTTGACAGGTGTCATTGTGCATTCTTCCTTGCTATTTCATTGTGCGTCTTGCAGCACATTGATGGCCAGTTGAAAGGCCAATTGTACTGCTGTCTTGGACACTCTTCTTTGATTGATTTGTTGATTGGTTGGCGTGCGTGTCACGTGTCACTCGTCTGTATGCTGCCCAACGTGCCCCATCCAGCCATCCGTTTGCACATCACACTGCCAACTAGAACTGCAACCGTACCCTCTGCATGCATTCACGCGTGGTTCCCCTTTGCTTCCTCACCATTTCCAGGCACTGGCTGGGATGCTGATGTTGCTGGGATTGTTTGTGTTGCTGGGCTTGATGGACGACGAGCACATCTGCGCTGATTCAAAGGATTACCTCACACGCACGGCTGGCGTCTTTGTGCGCACGTACCTGCCCCCACTTCCTGGCCGGCAACCGGTCTCAGACTTTGTCTTTCAATGAAAGCGACGGGCAACTTTGTGTGTGTGTGTGTGTGTATGTGTGTGTGTGCATGTGTGTGTGCGCATGTGTGTGTGTGTGTGTGTGCATGTGTGTGTGCGCATGTGTGTGTGTGTATAATAGACGTGTAAGTGTGTGTCTGTGTATGTAATGTAACTGTATTTGTAAATGTGCGTGCGTGCGTGGGTGGTGCATGCCTGCATACGTGTACGCGTGCGTGCCCTGCTTCATTCTGTGTGGTGGTGGCTCCCTGTGCACTGCAAAACTGCAGCTGTTCCGAGGTTGCTCGCACCACACACGCTGGACGCGCCCATCCGTTCACTGCGCGAGCCCTTTTGTCTGCGTTGGCGACGTTGGCACGGCGGCGCGCTTGACTACATCCTTGCGCCTCTGGTTGAGTCGCTTCACTTTGTGTCTTGGCGACGTTGTGGTGTTTGTGTGTTCGCCCTGAACCACCGAAGCTGCTTGCTATCCCTCCCTCTCAAGCCTTCAAGCAGCAGTTGCCTGAAACTGCTCTGCTTGCCAACTTCGAATGTCCTTGGGTTATGTTACTTTCTCACTTTGAGTTGGCCGCCACATCCACAGCTACATCCACAGCCTGAACAGCCTGTCTCCTCAGCCTCATGCCTTCCATTCTCCAACCCATTCTCTTATCTTGCTGCATTTGCTTGCACCTTAGCACAGACCTCGCTTCCTCTGCCTGTGTTCCCATGAATGAACCAATAGCTGAATGGCACAATGTCAGCAACAATAGAGCAGTGAAAGGCGGAGGTGGTGGGAGAGGCACCTTGAATCCTTTGATCTGTGCGCAGTTGTCTTTGTGCTTGCAAGCAAGCAGCGAGCGCACAGCGAAGATGCCCACCGCGCGCAAAAACCACACGTTGCAAAAAACAATGACTTTGCGCCAACTGCAATTTGCAAGTACACCCCCTTTTTGCTGGTTGCTTCTGCACGTTGCCAGATCAATCTCGCAATCCCCAGCGATGGTTGCAAACACGGCTTCCCGCAAGAACGGGCACACACCAGAACATGCCACCACCGCCCAGCAGCTTGCCATCACGTCACACCACGACGCAAGCGTGTCATCAGTTCTCAAGATGGGCGGTGATGATCAGAGGAAGCAAGCCCTGCCTGCCGCTGATCGCCTTGCCAAACACAGCCCAGAACATGGCACGATCACACCGCTCCACCGTTCATTTTCTCCAAGTTCACGCCAGCAACAACAGCCAACCAAACAGCACCCAAGAGACAATACCCAGCCAGCTACCTACCTGATCCGAGCGAACGACCAATCCGAGCGAACACACCTGATCCCAGCGAACATCTAAGCGAGTGATCGACCAAGCAAAACAGCCACCACCGCCGCATCGCACCGATCTCACACGCGCAGCACAGCACAGCACAGCACAGCACAGCACAGCACAGCACAGCACAGCACAGCAAACGATGTTTGCGTTCCCAGGCAGCGGAGGCTTCTACTCCGACCCGTTTGGAGTGTCGCCTCGCCGCACGCGCAGGGCACCCCCAGCACCACCAGCAGCAGCAGCATACCAGGACCCATACGCCATGCCACAGCGCCGGGCGCCCCGCCGCTCCCCGCGGTCCCCTCAGCGACGCGAGGTGGAGGTGGAGCCCGAGGAGTTTGCTGACGAGGACTTGTACCGCAGCATGGACCCGTTTGCCCGCATGATGTACGGCATGGACCCTTACGAGGCGCAGCGCCGCCGCAAGGCCGCCCAGGAGCAGGAGCGCGCGCGCCAGGCCCGCCTGCGCGAGCAGAAGCTGGCCAAGATGCGCAAGGCCGCCCTGATGCGGGGCTACAACCGCGCCGCCACCACCATCCAGCGCGCCTACCGCGCCCACCGCAAGGCCAAGCACATGGCGGAGCGGGAGGGGGCCGCGCTCGTGATCACGCGGTTCATGCGCGCGGTGCCCTCCGTGCGCCGGGCCAAGAAGATTGCCGCTTCCCTGCGCCAGCTGCGCTCTCTGGAGCAGGAGCTGGTCAAGATGACCGCCGCCTACCAGCAGCGCCCGTGGGGCTACCGCAACACGCTCTGGTTTGTGGACCAGGTGGAGAAGCTCATCTTGCGCCTGGACGAGGTGCAGCCGCACCGCAGCGAGTTTGTGCGCCACCGCCGCAAGGACGTTGTGCAGCACGCCCAGCAGTCGCTGCGCTACGCCGACTGCGTCATGCGCATGTTCAAGCGCAAGGCGCAGGTGCTGGCGCGTGCCCTGCGCACCCACCTGCACAGGAAGCACGCGCACCACCGCAACGCCGCCGCTCGCGTGGTTCAGCGCGTCATGCAAGGCGTGCCCAAGGTGAAGCAGGCGCGCCAGGTGCGCACGGCGCTGCAGCAGGTCCGCACGGAGCTGTCGCAGCTGCATGACCTTCGCCAGCGGTACATCGACGCCCTGCAGTCGGCGTCGTCCATGCTGCACGAGCACGAGCATGAGCACGGGGAGCTTGCGTTGGAGTCGGATGCCCTGGACTCGGCGCTGTCGCAGCTCACGTCGCTCGTGGCAGCCGATCTGCCTGCCCTCACCGGCAGCGACGCCACTGACGATTACGATTACGACTACGACGACACGGCGTCCACAACCAGGAAGAGCAAGAAGGCGAAGAAGGCATCGTCCTCGAAGAAGAAGAAGCAACAGCAGCACAGCAAGGCGCACAAGCACCACGCGCACGACGACGAGTCCGCGATGGACGAGCTGGAGGACCAGCAGGAGGACGACGGCGATGGCGACGAGCTGAGCAGCAAGACGCGCACGGCACTGCGGCTGCTGCACCACGATGACGACGATGAGGGCGCGACAGAGCTCTCCGAGCACACGGCCACGACCACGGATGCGGAGGAGGATGATGACGAGAGGCACGAGGCTTCGCGGGCGGCGGCGGCGGAAGAGCCCACGCCGAAGAAGAAGAAGCGGCGCCAGAAGAAGCGCCGTAACCGCAAGCTCAAGCGCAGCGTTGTTGCCGTCTAACCTATGTTTGGGGATACGTGGCGTCGGGTGTGACAATGGGTGAAGATGGGTGAAGATGGGTGACGGTGATGAGTGTGTTGTGTTGTTGTTGTTTGAGCCGTGCCTTTCTCTTCTTCTTCTTGTTGTCGGTGTGTGTGTGTGTGTGTTTAAAGGCTATGTGAATAAGAGTGGGCCTTCCTTGCTTCTTTTACTTCCTTCCTTTATTGCTTCTAACTTTACATTGCCTGTCCAGCCATCACGATGCGCTTGCGAGCAAGTAAACGAACTCAGCCAAGACAGCAAGAAGGCAGCAAGACAACCATAGTGAGCGTGTGCTTGAGTGAAATGCGTCGGCATGAGTTGATGACTTGAAAGTCCTCCTCCCCTTTATTTTTTGCGCAGCACAAACACGTCGTCCTTCCCCAGTCCATTCAGCTTGGCCACGAACAAGACAACTGAGACGATGGCCAGTGAGGTGGAGGCAAGCGTGCAGGCACTGCGCACCGCGGCATCCGAGAAAGGTAGCACGTACACCCTGCGAACACCCTGCATGCGCTTGCATGTGCATGCATGTGCTTTTTGCTTTCCTTGCCTTCCCAGCTTCCCTTGACTTGCAGCTTGTCGCCTGGGCTTCTTCATATGTGATGGTAGAGGCGTGGACCATCTTGGACAAGCTGGGGCACCATCTGCTGACCAAGACCATGTGGATGATCAACGGGCGCCCACACGTCCTGCTGGAGGTGGAAGCGTACCTCAACTCAGCAAAGCACCCCGATCCATTCACGCACTCCAGCACAAACCAACAGCATGGCGGCTGCTGGTACTTCCACAGGTGCGCATGTGTGTGTGTGTGTGTGTGTGTGTGTGTGTGTGTGTGTGTGTGTGTGTGTGTGTGTGTGTGTGTGTGTGTGTGTGTGTGTGTGTGTGTGTGTGTGGCGTTGGTGCAGCTTCTGTGCTTTGCGAGACCTGTTCAACTGTGACCAAGGTTAGCGGACACCAGCAGCGCGTCTACGAGCAACTCCAATGTTCTCAACCCACCCTTCACCCCACGTACTTCATCTCTCCCTTTCCATCCATCCATGCTCACATACACAGCAAAGGGAAATCCTTCAACGGCGGCACCTACAAAGTATCCACCGTAGATGCCAACATGTTTGCCCTGTGCGCTCAGTACACCCGCGTTGCACCTGCGTTGCACACGCTCCCCACGTCACCACACCTCGCCACGCTCCAACCGCATGCTTGTTCTACCTGCTGTTTGCGTGATATGACATATGGCAGGGCCTTGACATCTGCATTGGGTTCAAGGAGGCGGATAGCGGCGTGGCGTATGGCGGGTTTCTGATCCGCAGCATTGCAGAGCTGCCATCCGTGCCAACCAAAGCACCGCACTTGCCCTCCCTCAGCCCCATCGAAGGTGTGCAGCAGTGCAGAAGCAGTGCTCTCACTTGTATGAGGTGGGATGGGTCATGACGTCGCACTGCTGGGGTCATCGCGTTTGCTTGCGCGTGCGTGTTCACATGTGTCGTCGTCGTTGCTGCTGCTGCTGCTGTTGTTGTTGTTGTTGTTGTTGTTGTTGTTGTTGTTGTTGTTGTTGTTGTTGTTGTTGTTGTTGTTGTTGTTGTTGTTGTTGTTGTTGTTGTTGTTGTTGTTGTTGTTGTTGTTGTTGTTGTTGTTGTTGTTGTTGTTGTTGTTGCTGTTCAGGGTCGTGCTGTGTTGTGGATCACCTGCTCCGCTGCTTTGATGCGCCGTCCATCCAAGGCCTCATCGACGCGCACTTTACAACCCGAGTACGATGAACTCTGTGTGTGTGTGTGTGTGTGTGTGTGTTTGTGTGTGTGTTTGTGTGTGTGTGTTTGTGTATGTGTGTGTGTGTGTGTGTGTGTGTGTGTGTACCCAAAGGATTTCGTGCTCATGCACCCGCCTGTTCATGCTGTGGTTGCGGCAGGTGCCTCGACTTGATGGCTCCTCTGCCACAAGCCCCGAAACAAACCTCACCCTCGTCCCCTTTGCCGACGGCGCACACCCAGGTCTCACGAATCTCAACATCTGTAAACGCACGCATGTACGTTTGTGTGCGTGCGTTTGTACGTGTGTTTGTACGCGTGTATGCATACATGTCTGCACGCATCGACTATTGCCTTGCTCATTGTTGTCGTGACGTGGATGAATGAATGTGAACAGACGTGCGCGTGTACACAACGCCGCGCGTGGGCCTGACGCTCAAGCGAGCGAGCGATAAGACGCACTTTCACCGCTTCCTCTCCCGCCCATATCGGTATCCACGCACGCGTCCGTGTCTGCACAACTGCTGTTTTGCTAGTTTCGTTCCATTTGTCACCGCTGCAGACCACCATCGTTCTCATTCTCACCTAATCCTATCGGTATCGTGACACACACACACATGCACACACACACACACATATGCACACACACACACATACACACACACACACACACACACACACCACACACACACACACACACACACACACACACACACGCACGCACGCACACACGCACGCACACGCACGCACACATGCACACACACACACACACACACGCACGCACGCACACATGCACACACACACATGCACACACACACACACACACAGGTACACGACGCACCCCACGATTCGCAAGGGCCGGCTGCAGACTGTACTCGGGCTGTCATATGTGCACGCGCTGCCCGTATCTCGTGTGGCGGCCCTCTCCGGCGTCAAGGAAGCAAAGGCGCGCGAATACATCAGTACGTCGTGTGTGTGTGCGTGTGTGCATGTGCTGACACCATACAAACCCAACCCAACCGCTTGCTCACCCGCAAACACATGTTCGTGTCCACAGGCGCGTTCCGTTTTGGTCGGTCGAAGAAGCCAAGCAAGTTTTATCGCACGCAGCTGCCAACGCAACAGCTGTGCTCTGCACTCGGCGCATGCTTCGATGCCGGCATGGCATGCCCTGATGGTGATGGTGCGAAGAACGTTGGTGATGCAGAGAGTGACGACAGCACAAACAATGGAAACCAATGATGATGGCGAGGCAGTTGCTGCTCGCGAGACATGGCAACGCAAGAGCAGCCACACGCATGCACCACCCCTCTGATGTGCCTTGTGTGCTCTCGCGCCGATGCATTGTGTTTTCGTGTTCGGTTGCTGGGACTTGCATTTTTGCGGTTTGTTTCACTTAGATGTGACTTGACTTGGTGGTAAGAGGGAGGGAGAGGGTTGTTGGATCCGATAGGCAACGTTAAATGCATTCGATTCAGAAAGGAAGCAGAAAACTCGCACACAAAGGGAGTGGGGGGGGGGAAGTAGAGGCAGGGACGATGAGACGGGGGGGGGGAGCAGTGCCACGCGAACCAACCATCAGTACAGACGCACGCAAACACAAAGAGACAGATTCACAGACAGACAGACAGACAGACAGACAGACAGACAGACAGACAGACAGACAGACAGACACACTCATCAGTTAAGAAGCAACAGCGATACAGCACGCAAAGTACGCGGCACCAAAGACAATCACAAGCACCAGAATACCATGACGCCAGCAACAACAACGATAACGAAATGGGAACAATGACCATGGCCAGAAGCAACTGCCGGCACAGCCAGCAAAAAAAAGGGCATGCATTCGATGCAAACAGCTAATCAGGGCGTGGTAGTCTGTAGTGGTGGTGGACTCAGGCGGATGCCTTTGCCGCGGGCTTGGCTGTGAGCTCGTCTGGTGGGGGAGCGTTGTGGTCCAGCAACTTCTTGAGCGATTCGTTGCGGTTGGCGAGGGCAAAGTCGTATGCGGTCTTGCCGTGCTTGGTGGTGATGGTCTTGTCTGCGCCCGCAGTCAGCAGATACCGCACCAGCTTCACGTTGCCATGGTTCGTGGCAAGCTGTGTGGACAGTTGGAAGTGGTGGGAGGGGGGAACAGATTGGGTGAGGTCTGGTGCATGAAGTGTGTAATAGATTGACAGCACGAGTCAGCCTTGGGCCAGCACAGCAGACGAGTCAGCTTTTACACGCCCCAGCAAAGCACACGCGCACCACGACCACGACCAAACTCACCATGAGAGCGGTTGTTCCGGAGAAGTCGCCGGCATTGACATCTGCGCCCAAGTGCACGAGCGTGCGCGCCACGTCCACTCGGCCCAGCGTTGCAGCTGTACCAGGGAGCAGATAACGAGTGAGTGATGAAGTGGGTGCGTGGGATTGCGGAAAACAGTGAGAGATTGAGAGGCGGACAGAGAGACAAACCGACGGATAGAACTACAGACAGGCAGGGATACTGGGGCACAAGAATACTGAGACACAGGGATACAGACACAGACACACATACAGACAAGGACACAGACACACGCCCACCTACACCCACACACACACAGACAGACACAACACACAGACAAGGACACATACACTCAGACAAGGACACATACACACCGCAGCGCAGGAGTGGGGTCCAGCCGTTGCTCATGTCACGCTGCTCCACGCGACAGCCCGCTTTCACAAGCACTGTGATCACTTCCGTGTTCCTGTCTCGTTTCGATCAAGGCGAAGGAAGCGGAAGAATGAGAGAGCGCGTGTGTGTGCATGAGAGGGAGAGCAGGAAGTAAGATCAAGAGTGACGAGCGTCAATGTGCAGCAGGGTACGACAGGAAAGAGGAGGTGGAGTGTGAGCACATGCAGAGAGCACGCCGACGTGGGTTGTGTGTGCGTGTGTGTGTGTGTGTGTGGTGTTGTGTTGTGTCGGGTGTGCGAGCTGGCACTCGAGCAAGCAAGCAAGCAATGTATCAAAGTTGCGGGTTGCATGCACGCACTCGGAGTCCACGGCATGGTGCAGGACGGAGACGCCGCCCTTGTCAGCAGCATGAATGTCCGCACCACCTGCATGATATGGTGCAAATGATGGCATTGGATGCGCGTGAGAACAGGGTTGGAGAGGTGTGCGGAAGCAACATTGCCCACAGTATGTAAACAAGGAAACAAACACACAAGCACAGGAACAGAACCAGACAGGCACATCCACACCCACATACACACATGCGCATAATGTGATACCTTCAACAAGGCGCTTGACCGCTTCGACGTTGCCTTTGGCGGCGGCAAACATGAGCGCCGTCTTCATGCTGAGGGTAAAAGCATCCTTGCGGGCACCGAGACCAAGCAGCAGCTTCACCGTCTCTGCACGTGGTGCACGTGGTGATGGCGAATTGGTTAAAGATTGGGGGGGGGGAGGAGGGTGTGAGAGAAGGGAAGGGGTGAGCGGCACGAGGAGAAGCAGTAGGAGAGAGGTACAGCGATACACACACACACACATGCACACACATACACACATATGCACACACACATGCACACAAACTTACATGCACACATATATGCAAGGCAGATCGGTACCGAGTGACGCTAGGAAGCAAAGGTGCACAAACAAGCCATAGGCAATGTCACCACGTGATCTGACAGACCTGGATCGCCAATCTCCGCGGCTGACATGAGCGGGGTGAGCCCGAGGATGTTCACGTAGTCAATGTCTTCCTGCAGTACCGACAGCGATATATGAGGTGGTGAGCGAACGACAGGAAACGTCTGGCAACAACTCGCGCCACAGCCAACAACCATGGCACGTGAGCCGATGCATCCAATGCATGTTGCATGTGCGATTGCTACCTCGTCGTTCTCGATAATCTCCCGGATGCGGTCGTAGTCCTTGGCTTGCACAGCCTTGTGCAGGACGCTTGTCTCAACACCAGCCGAGATCCTCTCCATGGTGGTGATGATGACGAACTTTTCGTTTGCGGCAGAGGGAGCGTTTGCGCGGGTGTGTGTGTATGTGTATGTGTGTGTGGCTGCGCGTGTGTGAAAATGTTGTCCCTTCCCTCTGCAAACCAAACCAGAAGACAAGAGGAGGTGCAGTGAGCAAGCTGTGATGATGGTGTGATGGAATGAACACAGAGAGAGAAGAATATGGAGGATCGGCAGCACAAACTTCTTTGAGGATGATGATGGCAACGCACGAGCACACACAACCCCGCCGACACAACCACCAACCAAGTCAAGTCAAGTCAAGCAACCAAGTCAAGTCGAGCAAGAAGCAGTTGTAACCGACTTGATGGAATTTTTGTGTCGTCACAGTGGCGTTGCGTGGCGAACTGGCCATCAGGTTTGGGATGTGTGTGTGTGTGTGTGTGTGTGTGTGTGTTTGTGTTTGTGTTTGTGTGTGTGTGTGTGTGTGTGTTGGTGTGTGTGTGTGTGTGTTTGTTTGTGTGTGTGTGTGTTTGTGTTTGTGTTTGTTTGTGTGTGTGTGTGTGTGTGTGTGTGTGTGTGTTTGTGTGTGCGTGTGGTGCACAGCGTCCCACATCTCGCGACGCTTCCCTGCTTCTTCTTGTTGTTCATCTTGTTCTTGTTCTTTCCCACGTACGTATTATGCAGGTTTATTAGCTACGAGCAGTCACATGCGCACGCGGTCGAGAAAGGAAAGGGAACCAGGCACGCAAAAAGGTGCACTCAAGAAATACCACCACACGCTTCTTCACACAGCGCATCAAGACAAAAAAAGAAAAAAAAAGAAATGGCAAACAGGAAAGAGGAGCAAGGAGCACAACACGCACATATAGACAGGCGTATGTACGTACACACATGAAGATGCGCACACAAGCAACCACACAAACACGCAAACACACACACGCAAACGCACGCACGCACGCACACACACGCACGCACACACACACACGCACACACACACACACACACACACACACACAAACACACATACACACACACACACACACACACGCACATACACATACACATACACACACCCACCCACACAAACGCACAGAGATGCGACAAGAATTATGCCAGTTTGTAGCAGTTGTACTGGCTCGGGTCGTCCTTGTTGTTGTAAAACAGCCGCCAATGTCGCCACACAGAGTTGACCTAACACACAACCACCATCAACAACATAAGCAAAGCGACGTGAACATGGGTGCGCGCACAGCAGCCATCAGGGCAAGGAGGAATGAGCTTGAACGAACACAACACCGAGTTTGCTGCGCACCACAAGCCAACAGACACGTTGTATCCTCAGCCAACGCGACTTCCACCACCGTCACAGCCACCAATGACGACCACCAATGACCATCACGACAACCAATGACAACGGTGAACGTACCCGCACAATCTGCCGGTCTGGCCCACCCCAGCTCCATCCGCGGAACCGGAAGAAGTTTCCACTGCCCGTATCGCAGCGGTCATCAATCGCCTGCCAGCCGACACGCGCACGGGGGGGGGGGAAGAATGGTTGGCACCAACGACATGCATATGTGTGCATGTGTGTGTATGTGTACATGTGTGTGTGTGTTTGCACGAGCTGTGGCGAGTTAGGCAAAACAAAAGCGCAGCAAAGTTGCTTGGCCGCTTCTCGCTCTCGCTCTTGTTGTTGCGCACCTCGATGATGTGGTATGCGTCGACATATGTGTCCAGGACATAGGGCAGCTCCACCAGCTTGCCGTCAAGCCGCATGTGCTGTAAAGATGCAACACAAGGCAGTCATTGTGGATGTGGGTGACCGTGAGACACAGTAAATGCCATGATCAGCAATGGTCCAACCACACAGACACACAGACGCACAGACACATACACACATGCACACAGACGCACACACACACACACACACAGAGATACACAGATACACACAAACGAGCATGGTGCGCTCACCGAGACTGAGTCCGCTGGAACGGCTTCAAAGTAGAGGCGGACAGCGGGGCCAGGCGGCGTCGTAGTTGTGGTCGTAGTTGTGGTTGTGGTTGTTGTGGTTGTTGTTGAGGTGGTGGTTGTGGTTGTTGTTGTGGTGGTGGTCGTTGGTTCCTCTGTGGTAGCGCCGTCCGGTGCAGTTGTTGCTGGCGGTGTGGTTGGCTCCATGTAATCGCTGTAATAGCGGTAGATCTCTCCATACAGGTTCGCCATCCAGATGCTCCCGTCAGGCGCAAGCTGTGTGTGTGTGTGTGTGTGTGTGTGTGTGTGTGTGTGCGAGTGAGTGTTTGTTTGTGGATGCAAATGTGTTTGTTTGTGGATGCAAGTGTGTGCATGTGTGTGTATGTATGTGTATGCATGTATGTGTATGTATGAGTGTGGAATAACGGCCAGGGCTACGGCGAGACTACGTGTATGCTGTTACGAGCACGCCAACACATGAAACGCCACAGCAGCAGCACCAGTAGCAGCACGATCGCTACACACCTCCATGGTTGTGGTTGGGCCTGGGTTCTCGTCAAAGAGCTTGTCTTCAATGATGTTGAGTCCACTGGCATCAAACTTGACATAGCGCATCCAGCCCTGCCCGTAATCAGCTGAGTAGGTGGTCGCAATGACGGCGGTGTGAATTGTGTGAGAAACAAGCACAAACTCAGCTCAGCGAAACAGACGGACGGACGGACGGACGGACGGACGGACGGACGGACAGACAGACAGACAGACAGGCAGAGAGAGACACAGCAGACACACACACACACACAAACACACGCACACACACACACACACACACACACACGCACAGAGCTCATCCACATACGCACCAAAGAAGTAGGCCTCCCTGAACTCTGGCGGGAGCATCGTGTCGCGGTAGACAAAGCCGCCAATGACGGCAGCCGCGTTGCCGTTGTGCGCCCACTCGCGGACAGGGTACTTGTTCTGGTCGTGCCAAAAGTGGAGGTGGCAGTGCAATCGTGGTGAGGGTGTTGGTGGTGGTGGTGGTGGTGGTGGTGATTGGGAAGACGGGGAAGGAGGATGGATTGGGTGTAATGCCACATTCGCCAGGGCTGCAATCACAGCAAGTGCATCACACGCAGACAGACAGACAGACACAGACACAGACACAGACACACAGACAGACAGACAGACACAGACACAGACATACAGACAGACAGACACAGACATAAGCACAGACATAAGCACACACAGACACAACCCACCCCCAACACACACACACACACACAGACACAGCCAGCCAGCCAGACACACACAGACATAGGCACACACAGACACAGACATAGGCACACACAGACACAACAGCCACCCCCCCAACACACACACACACACACACACACGCAGACGTACGTTTGGCTGAGTGTATTCGCAGTTTGAGCCGTCGCAGTGCGGCCAGCCAAAGTTGACGAATCCCATCTCCGGTTTGTAGATGTGCAGCTCTTCCACTGCCGTGTCCTGTCGCGCGTTGCACGATGCAGACAGGTTGGAGAGGGGGGGGGGGAGGTTGGTGGGTGAGACGGCGAATGTGAACAGACAGACAGGCAGACAGACAGACAGGCAGGCAGACAGACAGACATACACACACGTGTCACGGCAAGCGGCCGACCTGGTCGTTGCCACCGACATCGCCGATGATGTACCGCCCCGTGGGCAGATCCCACGTCGTGCGCCAGGGAGAGCGGAGACCGTTTGCACCCCAGCAGCCAGGGGCGCCACCGTTCTGGGCACCGTAGTTGTCGGCAGGGAACGTGCCGTCCTTGTTCATGCGGATGATGCAGCCTGCGAATCATGAGGAGGAGGGCGCATGGGGTGGCGTGTGTGTGTGTGTGTGTGTGTGTGTGTGTGTGTGTGTGTGTGTGTGTGTGTGTGTGTGTGTGTGTGTGTGTGTGTGTGTGTGTGTGTGTGTGTGTGTGTGTGTGTGTGTGGAAGACGTGAGTTGGAAAGGCTGTGGAAGGCGAATCAAACGAACACGGCCGCTGACAAACAGTCTGTAATGTAGATGACAGACACACAGACACAGAGACACAGAGAGAGAGACACACACAGATACACAGACACACACACACACAGACAGACAGACAGACAGACAGACAGACAGACAGACAGACACACAACACAGACACACACGCGCGGACACGGTGCGCACCTGCAAAGTGGGTGATATCGCTGGACCAGTTTGGGTCGATCATTTTGTCGCCCTGGGAGAAATAGAGCTTGCCATCGGGCCCCCACGTGAGCTGCCCGCCGTAGTGCCAGTGCAGCGACACGGGGATGTCCGGATACCCCTCTGGGTCGACCCACACCACAACCTCGGAGTTGATGTCCAGCCGGCTGGTGAGCCCGCCGCTGTTGTGGTGGTGCGTGAACCGCGACACGCGATTCGTGTCCCCAGCAGCATCGCCAGGGCCACTGGGTGTATACGGTGCATATGGTGCATGTGTGTCATCAGTCTCGTTAGCATTGTGCGCTTGTGTGTGTACACTGTGGCGGGCATCAAGCTGCATCGTGTTTCCACCTCGCACGCTCAAACACGCACGCACGCATGTGAGACTTACGAGACGGTGTTTCGGCTGTAGTAGATCCAGACTTGTTGGTTGTTCTCAAAGTCGTCATCAAGCTGCATGTCCAGGATGCCTTTGTTGCCGCCGCCGTCCGTGACACTCGTCAGGTCAATGTATGTCTGTGCGATGGCAAAGCAGGACATGGTGGTCATTCGGGTGGTTGAGGAAGGAAGGCGGGCATAGTGGTGATCAGGAACACACGCACAGGTAAATTCATATGCACTTACACACACACACACACACACACACAAAACACAAACAAGCACACACAACATCAACAAGTACGCACTTTCACACGCACGCACTCACACACGCACTTTCACACACACACACACACACACACACACACAAAACACAAACAAGCACACGCAACATCAACAAGTACGCACTTTCACACGCACGCACTCACACACACACACACACACACACACTTTCACACACACACACACACGCACTTTCACACGCACACACACACACTTTCACAGACACACAAACACCAACCTCCTTGATGAGGTCGCCGTTGCTGCGTTGGCAGATGTGAACGAGGCCAAACTCTTCCGAGTACAGAAAGGTGTCTTCGGACAGAAACAGCATGTCTGTCACTACCACAACAGGGTCATACTGGTTGACCTTTTCCCTGTAGATGCCTGGTGGCAGCGCGTGGCTGCCGAGCGCACAGCATAGGGTCAGGAGCGCAAGCTGCGCCAACATGGCCATCCCCCTGCTTCTGCGCGTGCTGCGCGTGCTGCCACGTTGAGTGTTCCTCCTGCTTCTCACCATCATGTCCTTTGTCAACACGTAGCTGTGATCTTGTTGTGCCATCTGGTTGTGTGATCACACTCGTCCATTCAAAAATCACGGGTGTCGGCTCAAAAAGCACCACCACCGCCACCTCAAGGTGTTGTTGTCGAAATGGCTACGAAGCAAACCAAGCAAGCGCTGCGTTGCTTTTGCGCATCAGCAAAAGAAGCGCGTTGTCCTTCGTACTGGCAGCAGCGCTGGCAGCGCTGGCATGCGGGGCACTCGCGCATTGGCATGCATGTCTTCGCCTTGTCAACATGGTTGCGCTGCGTTGTGAGCCGTTGTGCGCAGCTGACCAACTCTTGCGAGTATTCATTAAAGATGCCAACAAATCCTCCACAACCGCACTCGGTTTGTTGACAGGAGCAGCAACTGCGCGAAAGAAACGCACACAGACACGAACCCCTCAACATGAGCCGCTTGTTCACCCTTGTGGTAGGTGCATGCGCAGTGGTGGACCGATGAGTCTGAATGCGTGTGTGTGCGTGCGTGTGTGTGTGGTGTGCGTGTGCATGAGTGCGACAGTGCGTTTTGTTTCGTTCTTGAGTTCAGCAGCGTGATGTGACACCGCAAGGTTGTTTTGCATGTGTTTCGCTCACACATACTTTGACCACGCAACACGGTGAGCAGGCTGGCCTTGGGCTGGGCGGCGCCTTTGGCGTCTATGCAGCACAGAACTACGACGTGCCTCGCGTCACAGATGTTGCACAGCGCGCATTGGAATGGCTTGAAGACAAGGAAAAGTCGAATCGAAAATGATGCTGTTTGTTCGCTCGGTGATCCGTTGGCTGGTTTGTTCGGTTGGTTCGTGGGTAAATGTGTTTGTTCGTTTGTTCGGTTGCTGTTGCTGCTGGCTGTCGACCGCTGCAGTTGCACGCCTTGCTTGTTACTTGCATAGACGTCCACCTGGAACTGAGTTGCCCTCCCCAAAATGTGCGTGCGTGCGTGCGTGCCCTTACGCATATGGACTAGCTTATCATCAGCCCCATGAGATTCCTTCCTTTCTGGCCTCTGTTGTTTCCTTGTTGTTTGTTTCCTTCCCTCCATCCTCCCTTCCTTGCTTGTGGTTGAGTTGGTTCAGTAACGAGGGGACCTCGCCCTCGTGTAAAAGCAAAATAGTCGTCGGAAAGCACGAAAACGCGAGAAGCAAGCATATCGGATGATGGAGATGGAGGAGGAGGAGGAGGAGGAGGAGGAGGAGGAGGAGGAGGAGGAGGAGGAGGAGGAGGAGGAAGGAGAGCAAGGGGCCTGGGGAAGAGGAGAGGAGCGGAAAGCTGCAGGAGATGGGGTGGGGAACATGAAGCCAAACATCCTCGCAGTCCTACAAGCACGCACATTGGCGCATCACAGATAGACAGACATACACACACTCACAAACCCACACACTCACTCACACACACACACACAGCCACGCAGACACAGACACAGACACACTCACACACACACACACACAGACACAGACACAGACACACACACACACACACACACGATCAGGAAACCAAAGTTTCACCAGGAGGATGCACATATGGAGCCTGCCTTTAGAGGGCCTTTGCCTTGTTGAGGGCGGCAACAATGGCAGGCTTCTTCTCACGGCGCCACTGGTAGTACGGCTCATCCGTGCCGCACACCCAGTCCCAGAACTGCGCAGTTGTGGTGGGGTTCGTGACATGGCATGGGGAAGTTGATGAGCAAGGCGGGTGGGTTTGCCGGGGAAGGGAGGGGGTTGGTTGGTTTGTGGAACGCGGACACGGGCGTGTGTGTTAGCGCACAGCACAGGAGCACAGGGCCGCGCGCGAAAGAGTGTGCATTACCTTGGTGAATGAGCCGTACGAGCCCTTGTTCTGGAAGTGGTGGAAATCGTGGCGCTCCGCTCCGCCCTGCGTTGAAGGAAAAGTGTGTGTGTGTGTGTGTGTGTGTGTGTGTGTGTGTGTGTGTGTGTGTGTGTGTGTGTGTGTGTGTGTGTGTGTGTGTGTGTGTGTGGCGAGAAACGGGGATGCGGAGGCCAACGCACACAGATAGACAGAGACAGACAGACACAGGCACAGACACAGACACATACATACACACACACACACACACATGAACACACATGAACACACGCAATGTACCTGAATGGTGAGGAACAGGTTCCAGGGTGACCAGTCAAAGGCGTAGCCGGAGTGCGCGTCCACCGTCTCCCACAGGCGGAGAAAACTCCTAAAATGGTTGAAATGGTTGTGGTGGCGCAGGTGAAGGTGAGAAGTGGGCACACGGTGGTTCGTCAGGCTGTTCGGTGAGCACAGTCACACAGGCATGTAGGGACAAACGCACAGACACATGTAGAGTGCACACACACACACACACACACACACACACACACACACACACACACACACACACACACACACACACACACACACGCAGATACACACATAGACACACAGACACACGCACAGACACAGACACAGACACACACACAGACACACAGACACACAGACACACAGACACACACACACACCAGAGCACCATGACGGAGAGAGGGCAGCCAGAGATGAGGCAGCCGCTGTATGTTGGGATGAAGTTGGCAACCACTTCCTCAATGGGATGCGCGTACAGCGCAGCAATGCCCACGCAGGCATGGAACTGGTGGTGTTGCTGTGCACAGTTTGGTGGAACGGGTAAACGTGGATACAGATGCGTGAGAGGGTGAGATTGCGACATTGCCAATCGCCAGTCCAACCCAACTACACGCGACCTGCCTCGACGCAGGACTTCCAACGATATCACACACACACACACACACCTACCTTGTGGATGTGCTTGTAGATGCTTGGATGGTGGAGGATGCGATGACCCCAGTAGAACAGGGTGTCCTCGACGACAAGCGAGACAGCGAGGTAGCCAAGCGTTTTCCCTTTGTATGGAGGAGCAGATGATGTCACGGCAAAAAGGAGGCAAGGCGAACGTGGGGTGAGCTCAGTGTGACCACGGGACAGCAAGCGCTGCAAACCAAACGTTGCTCGATGTTGCATTGGGGAACTCACAGAAGCCGGGGAGGGGCGCCGTCATATCCATGCCGCGCCACTTGTAGAGATCGTAGAGGAAGTACATGCCGATTGGTGAGGAGAGGATGACGGCGTTGACGTGAATCAGCGCCTTGCGGATCGTCTGCGGGGACTCGGGCTTGATGCCCAGGGGGCGCCTGCAAGGCGTTGCAAAAATATCCATGTGGGCACAGCAAGTAGATGAGTCACGTTGATGACCACAGCACAAAGGCGAAGCGCAGTTTGGGGGTGGGAAGAGAGGGGTGGGTGGGGACAAGGGAACCGGCACAGATCAATCAAGCACGTACACGTGCATTCATGCAAGATACTGTATGCACAGACAGGCAGACATACTCACAAAGTGTACATGCGCACTGACTCACAAAGTGTACATACACGTAAACACAAAGTGTTCATGCACGCAAACACGCACACACACACAGACAATACACACACACACACTGACAATACACACACACTGACAATACACACACACACACACAGACACACGAAGCATACGTACGGGATGCGCTTGTTTGGGAAGAGGTCAAAGTAGTAGAAGACAGCAAACACGAGGTTGACGAGGTAGAACGTGCCTGCGGAACCCAGCAAGAACAACACAGTAAACAGCAGGCGTTCATCGCCGCCACACCAGTCCAGCACCGTGGACACTGTCGTGTTCCACACTTGCTCCATCGTGCCAATAGGCAGGAAGACGAAGAAGGAGGAGGAGGGGGATGGAGGGATGGGAGCGCAACAAAAGCGCACACAACATGAGAGAAGTCCTTCCACAACACAACACGCAAGAATTGAACAAAGTCAAATTTGCCCTGCTATCCAACAGTGGCAGGTCAAATTTGACGTTGGTTGGAGCAGAAGGAAGGACACCAGCAGCAGCAGCAACGGGCAGCAAGGCGTTTGGAGGCGAGTGTAAGTCATCATTGCACATCACCCAGCCACGCACGTCACCAAGCCACTGCAAGGCCTCCCCACCCCCCAACACACATCTTCATGTTTGCTTCCAAGATCCACAAGTGCTTGGAGGAGGAGGAGAAGATCACCATCGAAGATGTTGCTGTCGCCAGCCACGGGTGAGACGTTGCGTTGCACACGCGTGCGTGTGTGTCGGGTGGGGGTGGGGGATGATGTTGAAAGGAACAACAGAACAAGAAGAAGAAGAGGAACTGTTGAACCGTTCAGTGGTGGCTCAAACTGTTGCACACGCACATGTATACACACAATGACATGTACATGCACACACACACACACACACACACACACACACACACACACACACACACACACACACACACACACACACACACACGCGCGCACACTCACACACGCACACTCACACACGTGCACAATCACTCACTCTCACTCACTCACTCACACGCCCCCTCACACTTCCCCTCACACACACTCACACACACACACACTCACACACGCACACTCACACACACACTCGCATGCACTCCACACAAAAACACTCACACATTCATATACACATACAGGTTCAGCAGCTATTGGGTGTGGTTCACCACGGCAGACGGCAAGTTGCACAAGACAACGGTGCACCAGAAGCAATCCACATCGACGTTCTTTGCAGCAGACAAAGAAGACGAGCAGTGGTTCCAACTCACCACAAACACCCGCCCAAGCAGCATGTGCTTGAGCTCCGATCGACAGTTCCTGCTGGTCGGACACATGGACGGGCAGCTCATCTCCGTGGACGCGGATCTGCGCAGCTCAACCTTGATCGGCCGGGTCAAGTCCGGTGCTCCAATCTGCACCATCGTCTACGACGAAGCACACTGCTGCTTCTGGACATGCTCATCAGACCTCGGCCTCACGGCGTGGGATGCCAACACCCTGCTGCCCATCTGCTCCGTTGTCCTGCAGGCACCAGAGGAGTGCGCGCGCGACAACCCATACGCGGCGTGCGTCCGCTTTACGAACCGACTCATCGTCATCAGCACGGGCGAAACACTGCTCAACGCCATGCTGCCACAGGAGTGCATGGCCCACCTCAAGTCGCCGCGACCGCAGCGAACCAACCGCCCGTCCGACCTCATCTGCGTCCTCGATGACTGGTTTCCCCCCGAAACCGCGTTCGACACCCCAATGGACCAGCCACGATTGGCTGCGCCGACAGAGACGCACGGGCGGGCGCAGGGCATGGTGGTGGGGTCACTATCATCACCACCAGTGTCAGCATCGTCATCATCAGCAGCGCGATCACAGCAACAGCAGCAGCAACAACAGCAACAACAGCAACCATGGTCGTCGTCGCCGTCGTCTTCATCATCGTCGTCTCACACCACGAGCGATGCTGCTTCCACCAACACCACCGGCAGTGTGAGCAGCGCCAGCAGCACTGCAGGTGGTGACCACACAGCCCCTCCGGCACACGCAACACGCCAACACCAAGGCCAACAACAACAACAACGACAAGAACAGCGACAAGAACAACACCACCATCAACACCATCAACACAAGCAGAAGCAGCAGCACCACAAGCCACCGAGAATACAGCACAAGCACCCGCAGCACATGGAGGTGGCGATTGGCGCAAACATGTGCGAAGAGCAGCCGCTGCCTGTGGTCGAGGCGCAGCTGCATGTTCTCCTCTCGGACGCCGATCTCTCTGTCCACTCGTTCACGTTTGGGTTGCAGCAGGAGGTGTGGTGCGGCAGCCACGTGAGCTCTCGCCTCTTTGTCTATGACATTGCATTGCGCAAGATGGCGCTGTCCTGGCTGCTGCAGTGCACGGGCATTACCGCCGTTGCCAACCACGCCGACAACGTGTGGGTGGGCACGAAAGAGGGCATGACATATGCGTGGGACGCACGCACGCACGCGCCGCTCATGCAAATCTCCTTTCACACAGACATGGTCCGCTGCTTCGCAGGCGCAGGTGCGTTGTGTTTCGTGTGTGCGTTGTGCTTCGTGTTGTGTGTGTTTGTGTGTGTGTGTACATTTGTGTGTGTATGTGTGCATTTGTGTGTGTGTGTGTGTGTTGTGCTTCGTGTTGTGTGTGTGTGTACGTTTGTGTGTTTGTGTACATGATGGAGGCTACTTTGTCCTTCGATTGACCACAGCTCAATCCCTTTCCTTGGCCACCGGTGTGTCCCTGTGCGTGTGTGCAGGTGCGGTGCTTGTGAGCGGCAGCGGATCTGGAGACGGTTCCATTGTCGTCTGCGACGCCGCCGAACTCTTGAAGCGCAAATGCTTTTCCGTCACGGGATCGTCCGCCCTCGGTACGTGGTTGCAATGGTGGTGGGGAGCGGTGGAGTAGTGATGGGGAGTGGTGGGGATGGTGTGGAGCGAAGGAGTGACAGTGCTGCGATCGCTACCGAATGATTACGTGGACAGATACGACTGCCGCCATGCAAGTGTCTCTGTGTCTTGTTCGCGAGCGACTCATCGTGTTGTCGTCATCACCACCACCACCACCACCATCACCACCACCATCACATCACCATCACATCACGGGCAGCTGACGGCGACCCTGGTGTCCCGCAGTATTCTGTGGACCGTTATGGGTTCTACCGCATGCACGTGCGAACACACGTTGGCCCCGCCTCTGCTGCCGATGGCAACTGTGGCCACCTTAGACCAACACAGCGCGCGCTCCCAGAATCCTTTGTCGACAAGGTGCGCCCGTGTCATTTTGTTTTGTGTGTGTGTGCGTGCGTGTGTGTGTGTGTGTACGTGTGTGTGTGCCGTGTAGGTGTGTGTTTGTGTGTACGCGCTCAGTAGATTGCGTTGCCTTGCGTGTTTGTCTTTGCTCATGCTTTCCCTTGCATATTTCACATGTGGTGTTGTGTCTTGTTGGCAGCACTCTGTATTGCTGGAAGCGTCAGCGCTGTCACTGAAGGACTTTGAACACTCAACGGCGTACGTTTCAACATCACACCATCGCATGCTTGGTCGTTCGTACCTTTCCCTCTTTTCCACGCAAACAACTGCGTGTGTTCGTGTGTGTGTGTGTTTGTGTGTGTATGTGTGCGCGTACACGTGTGTGTGTGTGTTCGTGTGTGTGTGTGCGTGTGTGTGCGTACACGTGTGTGTCTGTGTGCACATGTTCACTTTTATGTGTGTGAAATGGCATCAGTCATGCATTCCTGCAATCTTGCAAGCATTTCGTCTGACTCGTCTGTTTCAAATCATTCACTCTCCACCCATTTGTTCTGTTCAATGCATTCGTATGCGCACGCATGCAACAGTTGGGATGAGCTGAGCGCATATGTGCGCAACATCAATTTGCACGAGAGCGTGGCGCCTTCAGAGGTGGACCGTATCCGACAGCACATCATGGAGAAGGTACAGCTCGTTGTGTGTGTTTGTGTGTGTGTGTTTTTTTTGTGTGTGTTTGTGTGCGTGTGCGTGTGTGTGTGTGCGTGTGTGTGTGTGTGTGCCTGCCTTCAAGCGCGGGGTTGTGAATGCACTCTTCCTGTGTTCGCTTGAAGTTCAAACCACATCTGATTCCACACGCCCGCCCCTGTGCAATACTCTCACGCTCGCCCGTGTACACGTCCACACCACCGCCCGTGTGCAGAAATGGCTGTTCCGCGTTGGCATTCCCGAGGAGCACCGCGTATCCATGTGGCGCTGCATCGTTCGCCTCCGCACACACGCAATCAGAAGGGTGCGCTTTGCACATGTTGTCGCGTGGTGCTATAACTTTGTCTGTCAGTGTGTTTGTGTGTTTGTGCGTGCGTGTGTGCGTGCGTGCGTGTGTGTGTACGTGCGCGTGTGCGTGTGCGTGTGCGTGTGTGTGTGTGTGTGCGTGTGTGTGTGCGTGTGTGTTATTGCGTTGTGTTGCTGCTGGCAAACGCTTGGCCATTTTCTCCTTGCTACACGTGCGCATTCACACAATCATCACTCCTCTTCCCGTCCCCTCGAATCCCCTCTAATCCCCAACTCCCCATTATGCGTTGTTTTGGCGGGGCAGTTCAAAAAGCCCGGCTACTACCAACGCATGCTCGAGTACAAGGGAACAACGCGCACGCCGTTCCCGCAGGCGGAACAGATTGACGTGGATCTGCAGCGCACCTTCCCAAACAACATCCACTTCCAGGTGTGGCGTCTGTGTCGTGGGAGCAATCATTCGTTTGAGTGGTTGTTTGTGTGTGCGTGAAGGGATTGAAGCTGCTAATTCCGAGAAGACTGCTAATTCTCTGGCGGTTGTTCACTGCCACACACACACACACACACACACACACACACACACACACACACATTCACACACACGTACACACACACACACATTCACATTCACACGCACAGACGAAGGATCAGCCGCTCCTGCTTGCGCTTGATCGCATTTTGCGCGCGTTTGGATGGCACAATCCCCGCGTCGGATACTGCCAGGTGTGCAGCGAGATGCTGTTGTGTGGAGACAAGAGAGGGTGTGTGTGTGTGTGTGTGTGTGTGTGTGCGTGTGTGTGTGCGCGAGCAGCACCAGTAACCTCTGTGCTTAACGCTTGTTCACACCCCACACCACCAACATGGCAGGGCCTGGGCCAGCTTGCTGCGTTTGCGCTGCTGATACTTGAGGAGGAGGATGCGTTCTGGGCGCTGACGGCGATTGTGGAGGACATTATGACCGCAAACTACTACTGCGCCCCACTGCTCCAGGCACACATCGACATGGACGTTCTTGGAGGTATGCATCTGCGTTTACGTGTGTTTATCTTGTGTGCATCGTATGTGCGTGTGCGTGTCGAATGTGAGTGTGTTGTTCTGCGTTTCTGAGGGTTTGTGTTGTTCATTCATTCATTCACCCACGCACCCATCCATCCTTCCTCCCCTGCGTTCATGCGTTGTATCGACTGATGCCGCCACCTTGCGCGTGCTTACGCACCGTTCCCCTCAATCACCCACGCCGTCGTCAGACTTGATCAAGCGGTATATGCCGGAGTTGCACGACCACTTTACGGCGGCTGGCGTGCTCCTCCACTTCTTCCTTAAATGGTATTCGCACGCCTGCGCGCGTTTTCGTTTGGTGCTGATGGATGGGAGGAAGTGCTTTGCATCACGCGTCGCACCACTAGCCTTTCTCTTTCCGCGCGTGTGCCCCTACCTTCAACAATCTCCCTCAACAGCCTCACACGTGCGCATATCATGTTGCTTCAGGTTCATGACTGCGTTTGTGAACGTGGTGCCCGCGTTTGTCACGTTCATCATCTGGGATGCGTTTCTTCTCGAAGGCCGAGAGGTGCGCAACGTGGTGTGAAGACGTGTGTGTTCGTGTGTTCGCGCGTGCGTGTGCGTGTGTGTGTGCGTGTGCGTGTGTGTGTGTGTTCATGTGTGTGTGTGTGTGTGTGTTCGTGTGTGTGTGTGTTCGTGTGTGCGTTCGTGTGGATGTCGTGGTTGTTTCATGTCAACATGCACACGAAGCTGAGCTGATTTGCTGACACGTGTGCGACAATCCGCACTGATGCCTGGTTTGTGCCGTCGTAGGTGATTTTCCGGTTTGCCCTGGCCATCCTCAAGTACCATGAAGAGGCGTTACTCAAGGTGACACAGCCCCCCCCCCCCGGCTGCACACGAACACACACACACACACGCACGTACACACACACACACACACACACACATTCACACGCACATTCACACAAACACATCAACGCTCGCATGTGTGTTCCCTTTATGTTTACACGCAAGACCTCACCATGTGCCTCACCACCATTTCTGCTGCATGTGTGCAGCTTGACAACGAGGACGCGTGCTATTCGTATTTAAAGACAGAGGTGCCCACGACGAGCGACGTGGACCGCCTCATGGAGGTGAGAGGAGGATTGTGCTTACTGTCCGCTGGCACGGGGCATTGTGCTTGTTGGTTTTGTGCTGGGTGCATGCTTTGTGCTTGGGACGCACAGGTACTCACACGCGTCACACACACACACACACACACACACACACACACACACACACACACACACACACACACGCACGCACGTGCAGCTGGCGTACAGCTGGGAGGGGTTGGGTGAAGTGGTGGAGGACAGGACAAAACAACACGAAGAGGAGGTCACGCAGAGGCTCGGCTGAAGTTGCAAGGCTCTTGGTCACTTGGATCGCCACACATACACACACACTCACACACATATTATGCTATGTGATGCGGCATTGCCTGTCTATTACGTTGCGTGTCAGCACACTGTGTTCTTAGTCAGTGTTGATGAAAGTGAGAGCAAGACTCGCTTGTGGAGACAACAGTGACATGACATGATGTGTGTGACACGTTGAGACAGCAGTGTGCGTTCCATTGCACACACGTGCTGTGGCTACCTGCCATCACAATTACGACACCATAAATTGTATTCACCATCTGCACCCAATTGCGCTTTCCGGTGAGAGCAAATCTGGGCAGAAATCGGGCTTTCTTTGGAAAGTTATTAAAGAATTACGAAAGATGCGTTCGCAAATATTACTGCTCCCTCCTGCGATCGCAACTCTGCACAAATCTGCGGAAATCCTGGAATACTTCTTGTGGTGTATGTTGTCCACCCTCCGACTGTGCCTTATGCTGTTGGAAAGCCTAGATTGACGTGCTGACTCAGCAACATCACTGACCCAAGAGCGCCGAAATGTCCCGCTTGTCCCGGTACTGGTGGCTGTTCGCTGCCATGCTGGAGGACGAGGAGGAGGAGGTGTGTGAGGTTGCCCAGGCAGTTGTCCAAGTTACACGAGTTGGTGTGGCGCGTCGAGTGCTAACATACCCGAGTCGAGAGTTTCGGGACAGAATCATCTTTCGAGATGGGTTTGAGAAGGACTTTCGAATGTCTCGAACCCGATTTGAAGAGCTTATGCAAAGGATTGGACCGCATCTCCCGACACGGCGCAGGGCACAGATCTGCGACCGAACATTTGTCGCGGCCGTCATTCACTTCCTGGCGCATGGCAAGACGACCATCAACATCGAGCGTGAATGTGGCATTTCATCAACGCACTTTAACGACATGCTTCCTGAGGTAAACCTGCGTTTCGTGTGCGGAGATGCTTTGGGAGGGTGATTAGTTGGGGTCACAGCTCACGTGTCGCTGTGCGTTCATTTGCTAGTTCCTGTTCGCGATTGTGAAAGGCCTTGCTGGTGTCATCCGCATACCAGAGGGTCCCGAACTTGAGGAGGAGCTAGATGCCTGGGCCAGCGAGGATCCATGGCTGAAAGGTTGCATGTGCGCAGGTGACGGAACCCATGTCTACTTCATTCTGAGAGGTACGGCTTTTCCGTGTGTGCGTGTGTGCTTTTTGCTTGCATGTCGGTGTGTGTGTGTGTGTGTGTGTGTGTGTGTGTGTGTGTGAGTGCGTGGTGCTTGCACACAAGTGTGTGTGTGTGTGAGTGCGTGGTGCTTGCACACAAGTGTGTGTGAGTGCGTGGTGCTTGCACACAAGTGTGTGTGTGAGTGCGTGGTGCTTGCACACAAGTGTGTGTGTGTGTGTGAGTGCGTGGTGCTTGCACACAAGTGTGTGTGTGTGAGTGCGTGGTGCTTGCACACAAGTGTGTGTGAGTGCGTGGTGCTTGCACACAAGTGTGTGTGAGTGCGTGGTGCTTGCACACAAGTGTGTGTGTGTGTGAGTGCGTGGTGCTTGCACACAAGTGTGTGTGAGTGCGTGGTGCTTGCACACAAGTGTGTGTGTGAGTGCGTGGTGCTTGCACACAAGGGTGTGTGTGTGTGAGTGCGTGGTGCTTGCTGTTGACATCACTGTTCCAGTGTCAATGCTTGCTGAGTCCCCCCCGGTGTGCTGTAAACGTTTCTG